AAAAAAAAAGGTCAAAATAGAAAACAACAAGCATTGGTAAGGATGTGGAGAAATTGGAACTCTTGTGCACTGTTGGTGGTAATGTAAAATGGTGCAGCCACTATGGAAAATGGTATGGAGGTACCAAAAGTTAAACACAGAATTAGCATATGATCCAGCAATTCCACTTCCGAGTATATACAGAAAAGAAGTGAAAGCTGAGACTCGAACAAATATTTGCACAGCAATATTCACAGCGGCATTATTCACAACAGCCAAAAGGTAAAAGCAATCCAAATGTCCAAATAAATGGGTAAATAAAATGTGGTATGTACATACAATGGAATGTTATTCAGCCTTAAAAAGAAAATCTGACACATGCTGCAATATGGATGAACCTTGAAGATATTATGCTAAGTGAAATAAGCCAGTCACAAAAGAACAAATATTGTATGATTCCACTTATATAAGGTTTATAGAGTAGTCAAATTCATAGATATACAAAGTAGAATAGTGGCTGCCAAGGACTGGGGGAGAGTAACATGGGGATTGTTATATAATAGGTACAGAAGTTTCAGTCTGAGAAGACACAAAATGTTCTGGAGATGGACAATGGTGATGGTTGCACAATATGTGAATGTATTTAAAGTCACTGAACTGCACACTCATAACAAATGGTTAAAATGATAAATTTTATGTTATGTATGTTTTACCCTAATAAAAAAACAAAAGTTTAATCCTTCTGCTCCACAAGTGCCAATTCTACAAAGTATTTAAGACAGCTAGCTTTGATATTTACTGAATGCCCATTGACCTTTGGCTGGTTATTTAAACCCAGAGAAGTTTTGAGAATACTGTACAAAACAGGCACCTAACACAAATCTGCTTGCTGCTTCCAAACCACCCTAAGAGCCAAACCACTGCAAGTATTTAATAAGCCCTATTCAAGTAAACGAGCGATTCTAATCCTAAAACAGCAGCAAATTCTGAGGCATTTGGAGGCTGAATTTGGACAGATGTCAACTCCTCCCATCCTCTCAAAAAGAGAAGAAAGTCATCAGACTGTAGAAAACATGGTAAATCCTTCCCTGAAAGGTTTCCCAGCCATGTTTATGCTGAAGTAATATCAGAATATACAATTATCACCCCGCTTCTGTCTCCTGAAAGAGCAATAAGACATAGAATAATCACACTTACCTGTATTGCCACCCAGTGACAAGGTTGGTGTACTTCATTAAGTAGCCGTATACATTTTCCATGTGATCACTGTTTCAAAAAGATCAGAAAATGCCAAAGTCAGTGAAAAGTCCAAGAAATATCAGGAAGTTAACTGCATAGTTTTAGAAATGGCTGTAGACACATATATGTTCTACAAATGCCTCAAACTTTCTTCAGTTGTAAAATTTATAAGTTTTTTTGCCTCTCATTATCTTCTGCAGGCTTTAGGCTAACAGTTCTTTGGGGCCACAGGAATCCCAATGTCCCTGGACACTGCCCCAAAATAATTTCCCAAAGAG